GCAATGGCAGCTCACCATCAATAAATAAATAGTGGGTGAGTTGTGTTTTACACCGTTTTTAGCAATATTCCAGCAATATCACGGTGGGGGACACCAGTAAGATGATGATGATGATGATGATGATGATGATGATGATGATGATGATGATGATGATGATGATGATGACGACGATAACAATGATGATGGCGATGATAATGATGATGATGATCCAGAGCCACCAGACATTGATTTATAATGTTATCAGGACAGGTCTGGCATAACTGTCCTAGCACACAACTCCACACCACCTGATTTTGAGAGGTGAGTATAGCCCATTGTTATCCCACATGGAACTATAGTGCTATCAGGAAAGGTCTGCCACATGTACATCTGCCACCCTGCCATATCTCCCCAACAGGTGAGTGCTCATTATCTACACTAAGTAATTGAGCACTTAGGCAGATGGTCCTCCTGCCGAGTCCCATGAAGACAGAATGTGTGTGGTGGCTAACATGTACTGCAGTCATCAGCTCGGATTGTACACAGCTTCACATTGCTTGAGAGTACAATAATGTGCATACACGCACATACACACAAATTTCAGTGAAAGGTATCAGGTTTGCAACAATGTATCAGTGTAACACATCAGACATTCTACACTACTTCAGTGTAACATATCTATCTTTCCACAATGTTTCAGTGTAACACATCAGACTTTCCACAAATGTTTCAGTCTATTATCAGTTATGCAACAATGTCTCAGTGTAACAGATCAGACCTTCTACAATGTCTCAGTGTAACAGATCAGACCTTCTACAATGTCTCAGTGTAACAGATCAGACTTTCTACAATGTTTCAGTCTATTATCAGTTCTCCAACAGTGATGCAACAATGTTTCAGTGTAACATATCAGTGATGCAACAATGTCTCAGTGTAACAGATCAGACTTTCTACAATGTTTCAGTCTGTTATCAGTTCTCCAACAATGTCTCAGTGTAACATATCAGTGATGCAACAATGTCTCAGTGTAACAGATCAGACTTTCTACAATGTTTCAGTGTATTATCAGTTCTCAAAACAATGTTTCAGTGTAACATATCAGTGATGCAACAATGTCTCAGTGTAACAGATCAGACTTTCTACAATGTTTCAGTGTATTATCAGTTCTCCAACAATGTTTCAGTGTAACATATCAGTGATGCAACAATGTCTCAGTGTAGCAGATCAGACTTTCTACAATGTTTCAGTGTATTATCAGTTCTCAAAACAATGTTTCAGTGTAACATATCAGTTATGCAACAATGTCTCAGTGTAACAGATCAGACCTTCTACAATGTTTCAGTCTATTATCAGTTATGCAACAATGTCTCAGTGTAACAGATCAGACCTTCTACAATGTCTCAGTGTAACACATCAGACTTTCTACAATGTTTCGGTCTATTATCAATTCTGCCACAGTGTTTCAGTGTGAAATATCAGACTTTCTACAATGTTTCAGTCTATTATCAATTCTGCCACAATGTCTCAGTGTAAAACATCAGACTTTCTACAATGTTTCAGTGAGGCATATTATTTTTTCAACAATGTTTCAGAGTAACATGTCAGTTCTGCGACAATATTTCAGTGTAACATATCAACTCTGCGACAATGTTTCAGTGTAACATATCAACTCTGCGACAATATTTCAGTGTAACATATCAACTCTGCGACAATGTTTCAGAGTAAACTGTAAGGCAATGAGTCCTACCAACTTCTTCTGCTGATGAATTACAGACTACAGGAATGAAACAATTTTAAACATTGTCACCTGCCACGATGTGTCAGGTCCATATTTGTCCATGAGAAGTAAATCATAGGCTAGTTTTACCACAATATCAGATTCTATTTTTCAATAATAATAGGTTGTTGGTGTCATGTTCTGTGTTAAGTCAACATGGTACAATTTTACCCATCCATCCCATGTCCCAAACAATCAATAAACAGTAATCAGCCTGAATGGGACAACATAATAGAAATAATCTGTACAATTTGATCTTGGACCTATGACCATACAATCAGTTTGATGGGTTAGATCTTTGCAGGCTTAAAATAGTCATGTTAAACTGCATGAACCTCAGCTCTCGTATTTTGCACAATTGACAAAACAGTGTTGCAAAGTTGTTATTACAGCTGCTGAAGACAGATCAGTATCTACCTTCAATTATCTGAGGACTGTTTATGTAATACCTTTGTGTTAACTGTCTGATGCACTTCATTACAAAGAGCTGTTTGTAAGATGCACTCTCTACTCTTAAGTGCAAACCATATTCCTCTCTTCTCCAGGCGGAACCTACAGAATCTCAAAACCATATTCCTTCGTCTTGCTATTCTTTCCTTTCATAACAGCTCCATATACATTGATTATTCATAATGGAGTCCTGAAGCTCCCTTTCTTTACATTATTCTTCCCGAATTTCAATAATATATGTCCCAGGGAGCGTGGTTACAGGGAAGACCTTACCGCTCTTCAAGTACGCTACACAGAGCTTGTGTTTGGGAATGTTCTTTTATAGAGATCGTTTCAGGAAATTGGTATCTTGAATGAGTGATGTAGAATGTCTGCATGCAGGACAGGCCCAAACAACATTACAGTGCCCTATTGATTGTGATAGAATTCCAACTATTTGGTTACACATGCAAACATCATTGTAGGGAAGCAGTTATCATATTTCACATTTTCTGGTCATATTTCACAGTGCAAAGAGAGCCAGGGCCAAGTTTTCATTACACTCACTGTAGGAATCTGGATTTAAAATCAAATCACACAGTGATAAATAACATAAATGTGTAGATGCTTTACATGTTAAAATAAACAATTCTCAATGCAACTTTCATCATGCAAATCTGAGAGTGCAACTCTGGTGGTGCAATCCTGATGGTGTAGCTCTGACAGTGAAACTCTGGTGGTACAATCCTGATGGTGTAGCTCTGAGAGTGAAACTCTGGTGGTGCAATCCTGATGGTGTAGCTCTGACAGTGAAACTCTGGTGGTGCAATCCTGATGGTGTAGCTCTGACAGTGAAACTCTGGTGGTGCAATCCTGATGGTGTAGCTCTGACAGTGAAATGGTGTAGCTCTTGATGGTGCAATCTTGATGGTGTAGCTCTGAGAGTGAAACTCTGGTGGTGCAATCTTGATGGGTGTAGCTCTGACAGTGAAACTCTGGTGGTGCAATCCTGATGGTGTAGCTCTGACAGTGAAACTCTGGTGGTGCAATCTGATGAATCCTGATGGTGTAGCTCTGACAGTGAAACTCTGGTGGTGCAATCCTGATGGTGTAGCTCTGACAGTGAAACTCTGGTGGTGCAATCCTGATGGTGTAGCTCTGACAGTGAAACTCTGGTGGTGCAATCCTGATGGTGTAGCTCTGATGGTCTGGTGCAATCCTGATGGTGTAGCTCTGACAGTGAAACTCTGGTGGTGCAATCCTGATGGTGTAGCTCTGACAGTGAAACTCTGGTGGTGCAATCCTGATGGTGTAGCTCTGACAGTGAAACTCTGGTGGTGCAATCCTGATGGTGTAGCTCTGACAGTGAAACTCTGGTGGTGCAATCTTGATGGTGTAGCTCTGAGAGTGAAACTCTGGTGGTGCAATCCTGATGGTGTAGCTCTGACAGTGAAACTCTGGTGGTGCAATCCTGATGGTGTAGCTCTGACAGTGAAACTCTGGTGGCTTCCAGTACTGGAGTACACAGGACTTCCTCATCTACAAGTATCTAGCAGATCCTGAAGCAGTATCCCAATTCCTATCACCAACCAGACATCCATGATCTATTGTAGAGCCTTGATGACCTCCTTCCAAGCCTTGATATAGAAGATCTTGAGTGATCGTTGTTTACCTTGCAAAAGTCTGCCAGCCAGTCATGGGGGGGCTCTGCCCATTCAACTAATGATCTGCAGGAAGTCTTAAACTCTACACTTCCCTTTCACGTGGAGTCTTAGTCTTCCCACTGTGAGCATTATGAAGCCCTAACCTGTTCGTGGAGCAAAGTTGTTGCCCACACAGCCAACCTACAGAACTGGTTTGGAAAACAGACTGACAGAAGAACTCAATAATCGTTGTTGTTTTTTGTGATTCTGAATTCTATCCTTTGACTTTGGAAATGCTTAATTATGAACTGGTCAATCCAAGGTTTCAAAGCAAAATAACTACCTCTGATTGAAACACCTTACATGATGGATATATTGCAAATGTTGAAAGCATACACTCACGTAACCTTGATTGGCGGATATAAGGGAAGTGCGGCGAAATTCATATTTTAAATGCATGATTTCATTTTGTATACACACTGATTATTTTATTCATTGATTCAGCAAATCTAAAATGCCTAATATTTTACTCGAGAATGAAATGTTTGTTTACGGAAGCCATTTGCAATCATGACCCATTCGTGTGCCCACAAAATGTGACGTCATCTTGTTTTGTGGATTGCGCAGTCGGTTACTTTATACCACTATGTACAACATAACACTGCAGTAAGTATTGATACCAAGGAAAGCAGACAACGAGAAGTGCGAATGTTGGAGCTAACAGGGTTTTTTTTACTTGAAATTTTGTAAAAATAAAATTTGGTAATGGTGGTATTAGTGATCTGGGGCTATTTATCACAATGCTGGACAATTATATTTAGTGTACTTGCATGTAATGCAGAGATTCGAACTTTTTGTCAGCGAGGCATGGCATTGTATGTACATCAAAAGTACCGCTTTGTGACATCAGTCGAGACTTAATTTACGCGCTAGCATGATAATTTCCGCATCCACGAATCAAGGTTATCCACGAACTTAGGTTACGGTTCTGTATATGTAAAACTGTAGGTTACTAAACTCAGAGTTGTGTTACATTATAATAAGAATTTCTAAAATATAAGACTTCATGCTTTTTTTGTCAATGCTGAATGGAGATGAACATATGACCTTTTCAATGTAAGCAATGTTAAATTCACATTTGAAAAATGGCTCCTGCCACGTTCTCAGCTTACCTGAGGAGATGGGAGTCCTTTCTGAGATTCCAAGGGTAGTTGTCATTCCGATAGCTCCGTTTCAGTAAGGGTGCACAAAGCTTATTTCCCATGATTCAACTCATCTCGCAGGATGTGCATGTCTCATCCTGCCCAATCTGAAACAAAGGGAGACAACTGTAATGAAACAAACAAATGTGCCCAATGCTGACTGTTGAAAATTAAATTAACACACAGTCTTAACTTTTACTCCACTCTCAGAAAACCTAAGCATGTGGCATTACTTAGGTCATCATACACAATGAATGATTACTTTCAGCACACAAGATCTCCATCCATCCACCACTAACGGCATCAGGAAAAGAAGATTAAATTAAATCTTTCACATCATAAAAACTGGGTTCATGAGATTTAGCCATTTACAGACCCACATTACATTCTGTACACTATGGAAGGGAAAGTTCAAAGCAACTGTCAGCAGAGTCTTTTCCACTTTACTAAAAGTTTTCCCACAAGTCGAGGTGAGAAATCAGAGATGTCATAGAAAAGCAGCTCCCAACAATCACATGTGTTCACTTTTTAAGTTTCTGAGTTAGAGGGATCAGTTCACCAGAGACACTGACGCCACTTAACCGATATGGCATTCATCCCTTGAATCAACTTAATGTAGATGGATTGATTCTGAAGTTGACACAATCTTGTTCAGTGAAATTCTGAACGTCAGAATGCTTAGAATATTCGGGGCAGGTGATTCAATAGCCTCTGGAGGCTCCCAGGGCTCAAACACACATGACCAACGGATAAAAAACAACCACACAGTAGATACTGTTATATATCTGTGCATGAACAACCAAACTGATATCTCAAAGCCTCAGGGATATAAAAATACTTCAGACCTAAATTCTCAGAAAAGGAAAGTTTCCAAAACAGGAAGATCGTTTGAAAACAATTAAAACATTGTTGGTTTAATCATTAAAACAGCAAGTCCTGTGATGGTTATTACAATATCTATAGATTTGTGAGAATATACGGCTACCAGCATTTCAGATCATGAAATTACATATGTGCATAATGCACTCACACAACAGCTATAAATATCGTCAGCAACATATTTGTTCTCCACACTGTAGGTAACAGCAGGTACACGAATAACGTTTCCTCACATCCAGTGAAATGCTATAAAGAATAGGGAAATTCAGTTTGAAGCTTACTCCCATGAAGTGTTATTGGAAGAAATATAGATATTTTCCATCTGTTCAAATTATTATTCATGCTTTTCATTCACACTAGTGCTTTAACTGAAGCTTCAGCAAACTACAGCTTTGCTCTCATAATTAACAACCTTTTTCTTCAAATGTAAATCAAACATCTAACATGCAGTAAGATGAATTTCAAAAATAAGGCACTACATACCGACCCATGAGGAACAATTTGAACGATGAAAAACAAGCCAGCAATTAGAGGTATTGGCTCACAAGATTTCCGTCACTGACAGGCTATAGTGTTTACAGGAAACATATCCTGCCCCGTATCATGCTCCCCGATCAGGGCAGAACAAGTATTACCAGCCAGAATTAAAAACAGCAGATCTTATTTTCTTATGCCTTTATGATCTGCTATCTGGCATGAATGTCAAGAAAACTATTTCAAATTATTCAATAGGAATCCTTTATTGAGTAGGCATGTGGTTTGTCAAATGTTGGACGGGTTTAAAAAAAGTACTGGGACATATTGGACATAGCATGATTTAATTGCAATAAATATGTTATCTAATTCATCTTAGATATTAGTCTTTCTTGCCTTACAGATTTGGGAAATTGTCATTGTTCATATCTATACATTGAGATGCAAATCCTAAAGATAATCCAACACATTTACAGTCCAGATAGTTATGTTTTATTTCTGAAATTTGATATTTATGAGGGAAAGTTAATACAAGTATATAAATCATGAATGGGTAGATGGTTTTGTCTTTGTAATTGTGCTATTTGTTATGTAAAACATAAAACCAAACAACAATACTGTATTCACGTTTATATTTTGCTGATGGGACTCCTGATGTCATTTCAAATCTTTTCAGTTCAAAATATGTTACATGTGACATATTTATAAAACAAACTATCTAAACAATGAAACGATATATCCTGCCATACTGAAATTTGTGCTGAATCCCTGGGATGGCTGTCAAGTGTCATGGGTTGAGGACTGGTCATTCATTCTTGGAAAAGGGTTTGCCTGGAACTTTATCAAGGCATTGACATTGTAGATGTTTATCAGAACTAAACATCCTGTGGTTGGAAAAGCAGTAATTCCTCGAAATATTTCATTAATTTATTTAAAAAGAAATATTGTCAACAAATAACAATGAATACAATGTCTACAATACTTTAACTGGAAAAATATATTTGCACTTTCAAAGGAAAGACAGTTTATGTTGGAAAGATTCTTGGCTATACAAGGATTCCTATTGCAGTATTACTATATTTACTACCATAAGGGGTGTTTCCACCAGTTTATCAAGTGATAATTGAAACATTAGTGGGAACTTTCCATCTATACAAATTTGGTCTGTATACTGAAGAAGAGGCAAAAGAATTCAGTCCCACACAGAAATTTGGCAACTACCTAAAATGGCGAAGATTGTCACAAAATTCAAACTCGCTGCAATTCTGCTTTCATTTGTGAGCACAGCAACGTAATCAAAGTGTGAAAATGTTTACATGGCAATCCTCAAGTAGCACTGGTTTAGCTTTCTGCCATTCTGAGGGCAGATTGTATCAATGATGTGTTGCCTGTTATCTGTCACATTCAATGGACTGCCTATGCATAACCTTACAGAAAGTTAAGATTTTCGAAGGCACAGAGAACTGATGAAACTCACTAACAATCAGCTTGCAAAATATTCAACTGTATTTATTTTTGCTTTTTGTTTGTAAGTTCAAGGATGTAAAAAGATAACTATTTTTATTAAAAAACACAAGACAATTATGACATTGCAACAGTTACGTTAGTCTGTCTCACAGTCCCTGAACCATATTATTTCCCCTACTGCCAAGCCCGCTCTGCAGTGCTAAAGCCCTAAATAAAGCAAGTCTAGATTTCCTCAGGTTCTGAATCTCTGGTCTCCCTAGGGCTCCTTTTCAATATAAATGGGCTTGTTTGTTACTATCAAAATTATATATATTCAGGGACTAAGCCTTAGTCTACAGTTACGTTTGCCATCACTGACAAAAAAAATCCTGTTCCTGAATAATATAGTGCTATATATCTTATGTTATCAATTTCTTTGTTATGTAATATGTCTTAGCATAGACCGTATTTCTGTACCTTTCCCTTACAACGGCTTCCTCTACACAAATGTGCATTTGCATATGTCAATGTTATGTATGTCCTTCATTGGACAATAAATAATGCCATTATTAGTATTTGTTGTATAGGTTGTAAATCATTTCCATCCATACATTCATCTGTTATAGCGCCTAATTCAGGACAGCCATCGTTCAAATATTCCTAAAGATAAAAACTATGTAGCGAAACCATGTGAAACTTAATTGCAATTATTTAATCTGCATACTTAATCATTATCACTACCGCGACTGTACATCGTTTTCAGTCACCTGTACCCACTTTGTCACTTTCATTAATATGACATTTAGAACCTTAACTGGTCATCCCCTTGGCGTCTGCCATCACATCCACTGTTACAAAGAAGTGCTATTGTTTCTCTATCTGTCCACTGTTGTGTGCTCGCCTGTCCATTGTTGTCAAAAACTGTATATATATGCTCACATCCATATTGTCAAGGAGTCCGGTATTCCGACTGTCTGTTGGGGCGACCACGAGCAGGATAATCCTAAGTAGGAAGCCCCTGGTGTTGAGCGGAACTCCACGAACCTCATTCATGTATACTATTACTAATGTTTGTCCTGGCCTGTGCAACCAACTAAAAGTAGTTTGAACTCAACCTATCCTTCGTCTTTGTCAACTTATTATGCGATATAATTCCAAGCTAGTTCCCCTGCCGATCATATCTCACGCCGTTGACACATCCATCCTCCCGATCTATTCATACATTTTTTTTTCTTGATGTCAACAAAGCCCCAGAACAGGACCCGCAGTTAATACAGTTACAGAATGACATTTCTGGAGTTGACAGGGCTAATTGATAAGTGTATACAAAATGGCTCCTGCCTTCTGATAAAACTGATAACACCAACCAGCTACAGATGTTGGAACGAATGCGCTGGTTTAGTTTCCCTTATGATCAAAACAAAACAAACTCGGTCTTCAAAATATTTACATTTAAACTCCATTCCAAGACTCCGCTCCAAGACCCCACTCCAAGACTTCACTCCATGTTTTACAGTATGCCTGATTTAATAGGGGAGAAGATTGGTTATAGTGTTCAACTGTCATGGGTTAGACCCAGATCGGATTCCATTCTTGGGAACAAATGGTGAATCTAAGTTCTGTTGATGGGAATCTGTGCCTATATTGCCAAGGAGTGAGTGAGATCAGTTTAATGTCACTTAGAATGTTATAGTTATATCACAGTGTACCAGATTCATGTGGGGAAACGGTGAAGTGATCCAGGTCTCAGACATTTAGAACTTTGATGAAGTCACAAGCTTGATATGGTGCTGACAGGGTAGAGACACAAGCTTGATATGGTGCTGACAGGGTAGAGACACAAGCTTGATATGGTGCTGACAGGGTAGAGACACAAGCTTGATATGGTGCTGACAGGGTAGAGACACAAGCTTGATATGGTGCTGACAGGGTAGAGACACAAGCTTGATATGGTGCTGACAGGGTAGAGACACAAGCTTGATATGGTGCTGACAGGGTAGAGACACAAGCTTGATATGGTGCTGACAGGGTAGAGACACAAGCTTGATATGGTGCTGACAGGGTAGAGACACAAGCTTGATATGGTGCTGACAGGGTAGAGACACAAGCGATATGGTGCTGACAGGGGTAGAGACACAAGCTTGATATGGTGCTGACAGGGTAGAGACACAAGCTTGATATGGTGCTGACAGGGTAGAGACACAAGCGATATGATGCTGACAGGGTGAGACACAAGCTTGATATATGTTGCTGACAGGGTAGAGACACACAAGCTTGATATGGTTACTGACAGGGTAGAGACACAAGC